ATATATTCAATGAAAAGTGTAACTGTTTGTATAGCAATGTAGGCTAGTTCAGATCATCTTCTTATGCTTATCATCCACAAAATTTTATGTGAGAACTTGAATAATTATTCCATATTCCATAAACTTTATACACCATTATTTATATATAATACAAAAATACTACAAAAAGTCATATTATCACACCAAAAACCATTTATGTGTTACCCAATTTTCTTGCACATGGTCAATTAAATAATCAAAATTTTTGATTGAAAAAAAAACCTTTTAAAGGATTTCTAATAAACTTAAGGTAAATTCATCTGAAACGAAATGTTTTGAACAATCAAATACAAATTTCAAAACTTCAAAATGTTTGATACAAGAAAATTACTGAACACTTAAATGATTGTTGCAATGATTTATAAATAGTACCATAACCATATTACTACATACATAAGTCCCTCAGTTGAAATGGAAGAGTCCAATTTCTTTACATATACAGAATTTACATTTATCATGAATAGTCTAGAAAGGGAAAATAGCAGAATAGTAACCATAGATTTTGAGAATAATGATAAATTTCCACATTTCTCTCTTTAGACAATTTTTAAGATTACTTGAACTTTGAACTTCAAAGACAAAAATTTCAAAAAGCTCATGTTGGACTCGTACGTTAATAACAAATGAAAAGAATAGCATATATATCTTAAATTTTCCAAATACCAACCAAATTGTTCAATGTTCAATCAAATACAGTGAAAGCTGTGTGTCACCAGAAATAGTTATTAACTAAAAAAATTTGTATTCAAAGTCCAACAGTTGAAACATACAAAATAAAATATCTGTAAAATACACTTATCATGAGAGAATTACAGGTCAAGTTCAGATCAGTTTTACTCTTAAAAATCTGTAAAGCTGAAGGAGAAGTACAATGGAACATTGCTAATTTGTCATTGAACTTCAATCAAAATTAATTGGTTACTGTCATACTATATGTATAAGATGATTTCCCACAAATCATACCTTTCATCTCTAATCCAGTGAATTTTTAAAAATTTCAACAAAAACATATAAGTGATACATGTACAAATTCATAAGTGAAACATCTTAAATAGAACAGTTTTATTCTTTGAAAGTTTTTGTAAAATAAAAGTCCTCATAATAAGGAAACTCAATTATTAAAATTAATGCAGATTTCTAACTTCAAGTCCATTACATCATATTCATCTGCATGAAATGATTCTGAAATTTCACCATTTCATATATTGAATATTTTTTAACTTTTTGCAAATAAATAAAGTATCTGACAGCATTTCCTCAAACAGTAGTTAATAATATGGGGAAATAGTAATCTTTCAGGTATATCTCAGAGTGATTGAAGACAAAAATTAAGAATATCACGGAAAATAAATGGGGAATGGACACAGATGATGTCCCCCGCTTGGATATAACGTTATAAAGGGACATAACTCAAGAACGGTAAAAGTGACTCTACCCCAATTCGTACTTGATCTGAGTTTTGTGGTAATAAGCATTGTGTACAAGTTTCATAACATTTGGTTGAGGCAAACTTAAGTAAGAGAACAGAAAAAAAAAATTCAGCAATTTTTCAATTTGTAAAGGGACATACTCTAGAACACCAAAATTCAACCTTGATCTGTGTTTTGAGGTAATAAGCATTGTGTATAAGATTGATAACATTTGGTTGAGGCAAACCAAAATTAGAAAACGGAAACGAAAAATTCAGCAATTTTTATGTTTATAAAGGGACATAATTTATGAATGGTAAAAGAGACGCCACCCAATTTCCAACTTGATCTGTGTTTTGTGGTAATAAGCATTGTGTATAAGTTTTATTATATTTGGTTGAGGCAAACTAAAGTTAGAGAACAGAAACCAATTTTGGGGATGTACGCGACGGACGGACAGGACGTACAAGGGTAACACTTAATGCCCCCTTCGCCTAGTGGCGGGTGCATAAATTGTAATGGGTTCCTTGAAACCCTGTGTCTTGCCTGTGATTTCTGCTGTCAGTATGAAAGTGTAATGTTGCATGTAAAAAAATAAATGTGGATAGTGTCCACATGTGGACACAGATGATGCCCCCGCTTGCATGTCATATAGTTATAAAGGGACATAACTGAAGAACGGTAAAAGTGACGCTACCCAAATTTGAACTTGATCTGAGTTTTGTTGTAATAAGCATTGTGTGTAAGTCTCATAACATTTGGTTGAGGCTAACTTAAGAAGAGAACAGAAACTAAAAATTCAGCAATTTTTCTATTTGTAATCACGCACAACTCTAGAATGGCTGTGTATAAGTTTTATAACATTTGGTTGAGACAAACTAAAGTTAGAGAATGTAAACGAAAAATTCAGCAATTTTTATGTTTATAAAGGGACATAACTCAAGAATGGTAAAAGTGTTGCCACCAAATTTCTTACTTAATCTGTATTATGTAGTAATAAGCATTGTGTATAAGTTTCATAACATTTGGTTGAGGCAAACTAAAGTTAGAAAACGGAAACAAAAAATTTGTGATCTTAGTCTTGTGGTAATGAATATTGCGTATAGGTTTCATAATGTTTGATTGGGGCAAACTTAAGTTACAGAATGGAAACTAAAACTTTTGCAATCTTTCGATTTATAAAGGGGCATAACTCAATAATGGTTAAAGTGACACTACCCAAATTCAACTTGGTCTGTGTTTTATCAGTGGAAGTCAAAATTAAACATTGCATTGTATAAAGCATTGATTGTAGTTGATTCAACTATAATCATGGACAAAGGAAGATAACTCCAATTTTAAAAATAACTTGATATTTAGAAGAAAATAAAAATTTTGCAATTTTTCCATTTCTAAAGGTGCATAACTCTAGAACGGTTAAAGTGACGCCACCAAAATTCAAACTTCATCTGTGTTTTGTGGTAATAAGCATTTTGTATAAGTATCATAACATTTGGTTGAGGCAAACTAAAATTAAAGAACGGAAACGAAAAATTCAGCAATTTTTCCATTTGTAAACGGGCATAACTCTCGAACGGTTCAAGTGACACCACCAAAATTCAAACTTGATCTGTGTTTTGTGGTAATAAGTATTGTGTATAAGTTTCTTAACATTTGGTTGAGGCAAACTCAAGTAAGAGAACGGAAACCAATTTTGGGATGTACGTACAGACGGACAAGGGTAAAACTTAATGCCCCCTCCGCTACGGCGGGGGCATAAAAAAGGTCCATTTATCAGTAAAATATAGATTTTTCTTTTAAATCAAACTTTTTTCTTCACACACTTTTTTCTTATCTTGGAAGATTAGCTTAGGATCGCAATGTCTTGTTTCCATGACATAATGTTGCAGACTTGACAAAAATGAACATGTTTTAAGTGTGACCCTTTTCCTCATTCTGATCGTTTAATTGGCTTTACAAAGATTTAATTATATAAAGATTAACAATACTATGGATAAAAATATTACCCAGTTGTGACATCCCTGAGAATTTTACAATGTAGTGGCACAAATTCCAGGATTTTTGCATACATTCCTTGAAGGTTGTTAGCTTTCAAGAACTGTTCTGTGATTACCTATAAAATAAAACCATAATTGCTGAAGGTGAAAATTAATGTTAGTAGTTATGGTAATCAACCAAACTTAGAGGATCATTAATATTACATAACTAATTACATGACTGAATTTTATTGCGAATTTTTTCTTCTTCATAAAGTAAGCATCCTTTTTATTGGTGGTTAGAAATATCAACTACAATTCTGTAGCAATTAGCCCTTTATAAATGTTTTTTAATTTTTTTTTATCTTTTTATCCAATTTTCCATTTTCAGTAAAAGTCGTATTTTTTTATTTTACAATTATTTCATAGTGCATTTCTTTTAGACAATAAAGTCAAATTAAAAAAATTTTAAGTGTGGTGTACTACTATTGGGACAAATAATATCAAAATTATAGAAAAGTCTACCAGCTCTTACTCAAAATAATGACAATTCTATGTTAAGGGGGTCTAAAATTCAGTTTGACAGCTTCAGACATACTAGTTTTTGACCTTTTTTTACTGGACCAAACCACTTCTTAACATAAAGATTCAGCACCCAAATTTTTTTAACATGTAATTTCATCCCCTTACTTAATATTTCATGCATAAAATATAAAGAAATAAATTTGGAAAGTGTATGAATAAAATTTGCAAGTTATACACTGTCCACACAAGGGACTATATTTGTAGACAACGAAAATCTAAGGATGATAACTGTGTCCTCAGACCAAATAAAAAGAAACAATGGTAGATAATGGCATTCTGACATTTTGAGGTGACTTTTTTTCTCTATCAATCATATCTTTTAATATATAAACCAAACATGTACACTGACCCTATCTTTTCTATATCTATCAACAGCTGCCATATATGTTGATGGATCAAATTCTCAGATAAAATTTACAAACTAGATGCCCTAAGGAACATGCAGGTAAATTTTGGTAAGATTTGGCCTAGGAGTTTCAGAGCAGAAGAATTTTGAAAAAGTTAACTCAGAACTATGATAACGATGCAGGGCAAACAGACATAAAGTGTTGGCAAAAGCTCACATGGACCTTTTGGTCCATATGTGCTAATAAGCCAAGGATTCAGTCAAACTAAAGTTAATCTCAAACTATAAAGCAATATCATAAAATGTTCATTGTTTTTGGGCTGCTGTCACATTGACATATATCCCATATCGTTTTTAATCATCTGTAAATTAAGGAAAAAAACTATAAATATTTTTTTCTTTTTTCATATGAAATCTATATAGTCAAGGAAAAAACTATCAATAATTTCAAAGTAAGTTCTTTATTTTAACAACTTACCAGCAGAAAGTAATTTAATATAAACTATTTATATTCCTGTCATGTTATAGTGCATGATAAAAACTCATTATCCATATCTTTCTCATTTTAATTGATGGTTTGATTTCATCGAGTCAAGTGATTCCATCATTACTACCAGTGTATAAAAACATGAAAACACAGAAACAGTTAATTTGTCCAAAGTCACCATCGAAATGAAGTTGAGTTACTACACAGCCTTATTGACACTTTTGTTATTTGCAGAAATGGTTATTGGATCATGTGACACAAAATTAGGTAAATAAAATAATACTGTTTTTTAGCTGATAAATAAGATAACAAAAATATAGAATTATTATAAGGAACTACAAATGTAATATACTGGATGAAAACTACTGTTTCAAATATACTATTTTTCAGAGTGTTCGCTTCTTGGTGATCTCCTAGAAATGGCAATGAAAAATAAAAGTCCAGGTAAGTTTCATACTTATTTTCTTTTATATAATAAATGCAATATTTTTTGCAAAGGCATAAACTTTGGCTTTTTATAGTTAATGATTGTATAAAGCCTTGTTTGTGACGCTAATAATATTTATATTAATATTGAACTAGCGAACATATATAGGTTAGGAGAAATTTTTAAGTCTTCCACATCAAATTCATAATTGTTTATTTTTTGCCCAAAATTTTCATTTGTAGCAGATGCAGTATACAAAGAACAAACATACATATTTTTCAGAACATATATTTTATTTGAACTTGGCTTGATACAGGATAGAAATTATTGGCAAATCCTGACTTTCTATCTGCTTCTAATCCCAGGCCATATTCTTCCCAGCGAAATGAGGATATGAGTCGTCAAAAAATTTTGAAAATCGCTAAAACTCACCAACCAAAGGACATTAAAGCGAAGTCCAATCACTATCAAAATCAGTATAAGGGAGACAACTTGTGATTTACAAGTCTGACAAGTAAACAAAAATGGCGACTGACAAGGAAAATCCAGGTTTTCGAAACAATCATGGGCTAATACTGTCAACGATTAAATGAAATAAATACAGCGGCAACTTTAAACATCTTTGGATTTAAGATTCAAAACTATTTAAACAGAAAACCAAGCAACTGTTTGAGTTACCATTTTACGATGATTTTCTTCATGAGGATGTTGCAGAATCACTCAGCTGATTTGTTTAATTTTAATTTATAACAAGCCAACAAGCTGTGCTATCAAATCCTTGTATAAATAAATTTCATATTTCGAAACAATGTGCAGTTATTCTATACATATTATTCTTTTTTTACTTAACTAGTTTTAAAAAATCTGATAAAAACATTTCATCAATACAAACCATGAATAATTGTATAAATTTGATAATTATATATAGTTATGGATTAAAGGAGAGGTATGGGAAATTTCATGGAGACAGCAACCCAAATAACAGAAAAAAATGATGTTGTCTGTATTGAAAAAAAAAGAAAATATGATTGATGAAATTTCTCTCATTTTAAGGATGTCAAAATATCATGTGATTGCATACAATAAAATGTTGATTGTTTCATTACAGTTCTTTCATGCATATTTCCATTTTTACACTAGAAATCATTATTATATAAAATTACATCAAGAAAGGAGATTAAAGTGACAACAACATTAATCTTTTTAAAAAGATTTACAAATTAAGCAATTTTGATAGTTTCCAAGTTTCATACCTAACTGTCATTTTCTTATCTTATAGCTTATTCTTATATTCATTTTAGATAAAGACTGTCAGTGTCCAAGTAGAACCAAAATCCCAGCCTTTTCAGCAATGCTGACCAGTTCACAAACCCCTGGAACTGGTAAAGATATCAAGTTTGACAAAATTGTCACTAATATACTTAATGGCTATAATCCAACCACTGGTATTTTCACTGCACCTGTTGCTGGAGTTTATCATTTTTCTTATACAGTCATGACTCAGAATGGAAAATACCTAGTTGTCTACCTTACTCTTAATAATAACAAGCAACAAACTATATGGCTGAAAGGGTCTAGTCACGAATCAGGAACAACCAGTATTATATTAAATCTGAAGAAAGGGGACCAAGTTGCAGTTAAGTCAGCGAATGGTGCTTATACTATTAACAGTAATGGTAACATGTATTGCTCATTTTCTGGCTATCTCATAGCATAATAAAAGAAATTATTCTGTTAGTTTATCTAGTTTAAATTAAAATAAATGGAGAATGTGTCCATGGGACACAGATGATGCCCCTGCTTGCATATAATGTTATAAAGAGGCATAACTTGAGAACTGTAAAAGTGACACCACCCAAATTCGAACTTGATCTGTGTATTGTGGTAATAAGTATTGTGTATAAGTTTCATAACATTTGTTTGAGGCAAACTTAAGTTATAGAACGGAAATGAAAAATTCATCAATTTTTCCATATATAAAGGGGCATAAACTCCAGAAAGGTAGAAGTGACGCCACCCAAGTTCAAACTTGATCTGTGTTTTGTGGTAATAAGCAATATGTATAAGTTTCATTACATTTGATTGAGGCAAACTAAGGTTAGAGAACAGAATCCAATTTTGAGACAAAAGGGATGGAGGTACGGACAGACAAGGGTTAAACTTTAATAAAAAAAAATAAAGATTTAATGACAGTTGAAAGTGTGTGACTGTTAAAACTCTCTCCACTAGTGTTACATACTACAGTATTAGAGGTCAAAGCTATGCTTTATGTTTAATATTTTGAGAAGATTATTAATAATCATAAAACAAATCTGTTTGAATAAATAAGATAGGTATCTGCATTACACAGGTTACATGTTCTTTGTTTTCTTGTAGATCTAGTTTTTGTGTGGTCTCTATATCTATTCTAGTTTTTAAGATGATTGCCAAAAATGTCATAAACAAGTAAAAAAAATCATCATTTAAGGAAAATTTCTCCTATAATGAGTCAATCTGTAATTTCTGTTATGTTGATTTGTATATCTTTTCTAGCTGTACAAGCAGGATTTTTTTGGGGCCATCATAGAAATTTATCTGGATATGCCTGTAAGGGTCTAACTGACATTTACCTAACATTCCTTCATTAATTTTAGCATATTATTTGTTCCTTTGTCCTATGCTTATCCTTTTTAAAAGTAATTTGTAAAATGAACATCAGATAAAAATACTTAAATGAAACATGAGGAAACTGATGATTTGAGAGTTTATGAGGTTGCAACTAAAACAATATTATGAGTGGAGCAAGGTGAAAAAGATTTGATGTCTTTGTTTGTGTCATTTCACTAAATACATTCTCAAAAAGAAATAAAAATTATAATTTCCAGTAGGATTTCAATGTAAATTTTGACATCTGCTGGCAGTAATTTTGAATTTCTGATCAGCACACTTCAGCACTTTTTAAGGACTTTCAAAGGATTATATCTATCTAGTTTGGTTTCAATTCAGCTATTTTTGAGAAATTTTCCTAATTCAAAGCAAACAGAAATTTGAAAAGGTCATAGTAGCTATGTTTGATGAATCAGCACCAAAGTTACATCACTCAGATTAGTAAGAACCATGTAAGAACATCTATGTCAAGTGTTGTTTTATTCTGTTCATTGGTTCTAAAGGTCAAATTTTGAAAATTAACAGCCGGATGTGGACAGCAAGCAAAGTGAGTTAAAATGAATGAAAATCTCTCTTTCAGGGAAATTTTGGAATAACATTCACAATTTTAGTTGTGTTTAATTTATTTGTCTATCTTATTTTGCTGGTGGATGTTGCTATTCTTTGTTTCTCTCTCCCTGTTAAAAGTTTTCTAGAAACAATTTTAAAAAATGCACCAAAAAAAACTAAATAAAAGATGCTGAATGTTTTTGCTGGGTACAGTTTCTCTATGTCTAAAATTTATTGTAGTTTTCAAGATTATAGCCAAAACAGCATAACAAATCATTTAAAATTGTCATTAAGGGGCAACAACGTCTATGAAATGGACTGACAATAGTTTCAGAGAAAAGAATTTTGAAAAAATAAACATGAATTCTTGGTCTATGTGAGCTTACAAAAATATTATCATTGGTCCAAATAAACATGAATCAAAACCCTATGAGTACATTTGAATTGTGAAAAAAACTTTCATGTCTTTAGAATTTCCAAGATTTGCAGACTTTGGCTGCAAAATTATAAAAATCTGATTACATATTTGTGTGATCTATCAGGCCTCTACATTATCAATATTTCTAACATGTCCATTCGGACAAGTTGCAAGAAAATCAATTTGTCCGACCTCTGAACTCACTTGCCTGAATCCAAAGTAAAAAATCTTGCACATTGATAATGCGCACAGTCACACTTTGGGCTTTTAGCTTACCCGATGAAAGTAGTAATTTGTTGTGTTATATGAGTTTGTCTGTAACGAATTAAAGAATATTACATCAAAAATCGTTTTATTATTTTTTTAAAGTTTATTTGCCCTTCCAAAGTAAGTTCGCCAGCTTACTCAATGTCACTATCATGTGTAGAAATGATGAAAGCTTTGATTATCATCACTGCCCATGTCATCAGGTTCTTTGCTGAAACCTCATCCCCCCTTTCCCCCAATTTGCAGGAAAATTGAATTTCTGAACTTGTAATGTGGTCTAGATCTAATTTGTACTATTGTTTGTTTTGAATAAGAGAAAGATTTCATTTTGAACAGAAAATCGCTTTTCCTTTTTTTACCCCCTTAAAATATGAAGCCCCATTTTCCCTGATACTCCCCAAAAGAGACCCATTTAGACACTAAAATATTCAAGACTTACCCATTATTGTTTTTAATGTTTGTTTTTAACTATTGTCTTATAAATACTGAGCCTCAAATTTCCTCCAAAACTATTAAACTGTTAAACATTGTCTTTCGAGATTAGAATTGACTGAAATCTGTCCTTTATTCATAGATAGATAACCAATGAAAAAGCACTGGAAATAGGCTGGTTATATCATAAATCCCCATTGAAGAGGTATAATATATAGGTTGTTCCTCCGTTGAGGCAACCTGAATAATGTCAGTCATTATATTCTGCCGATCTCTGACTAATCTCCGATTGCTACAGACCGCTAGAGGGCACGGAGTTAATTGAGTAACGCAGAGGGGAAAATGCAGATAAATGGAAGTTATCCATTCTGTAGTCATATGGGTGAAGTTTTAACTTTCTTAAATCAATTTTTATTTTGATTCCTTCTTCCAGGTAAAACAACAACACGTGTGTAAAAACGCCTTGCACACATCCCAACTGTTTAAACATATTAAAGATCGTGATTCTAATGAACCGGATCTCTCTGGATTTATCTTCTCTGATAAGAAAGCTTCTGTCAGTGAGCATGTTTTATAATTGATTTTCCTCCCCTCACTTATGTTCCCCTGGTTCAATCAATGAATTTAGATTTGTATGATCAATAAAAAATAGTTCATGTTTTAGGCATTTGTTAGTCTTGGAAGGTTTATATGTTTTATATCATGGATGTTTCACTTGTCCCGTCGGACAACTCATATGGTGATTCTACTTGTCCGACTTGTCCCAAGTCTTTCTTTTGTAAGTCAAGCATGGCCTCTGAACTTTTTAGCTGATGTTTGAGATCCCTTAATTAATGCAAAATAAATATCAAAGTTTTAATTATTGTATTACCTTTTCCATATATGGTCGTACAACATTAATTCTGAACAAATTTTCAGCATCTTTAATCTTATCTATCAGGGCATATGTCCTGAGACATTGCTGCAAGATTTCCACATTCCCATTTTCTAGACCCTCAACAAAATGTCCTTCTAAACTGTATTGCAGTGTTGTTGTGATTGTTGTTATTCTCTGAAATAGAATTTAATATGACATTCTCAGAGTAGTATTACAGTGAATAACAGAATTTCTAAAGAAATATATGAGCAGAATGTATTTGTAAATGTTTGTGCCAAAATTACAACACAAAAAAATTGATACTGGAGCCAGAACTTTGGCATCATGGTTACCTATTTCCTGGGTAACAAGGGAGATAACCAAAATAATAATCCTAGTGGTAGATCTTGTATGCCTGCAATTTTAAATTGTTCTTATTATTGCATACAGTATAAACTGTACACTGCATTTTTTCACTGTACATAAACAAATATCTAGGTCTTCAGATGGTTACTTCGTAATACTGAGTTAAAAGTTTAAATTTATTTTGATTTTTTTCCAATGAAAGATAACTTACTGGTCTAATTTTGTCTACTAACGCATGTCCCTTGCTCTTTGTAACATTAAACTGTAACTTGTTGAATTCATTGGCTACTCTCTCAATCAGCTGTCCAGTTAGTGTTCTGTAATGAAGATGAACATCAAGTGGTTAATATTTCATGCTATACAACTGAGTTAGTTAGCAAAGTGGGTTAACAGAGATGAAGGTATGCCACTGGAAAACAGGATATTTTGTTTAGGGGTGAATTTTTGCTTTGCAGAAGGTCACTTACGGATCACTCCCAAGAGTTATTGCAAGCAGGGTAGTCTCAACACTGGGCAACAGATTTTAATGCCTTAACCTGACCAGACATTACTTTTTTTTTAATGTACAGGTACATGTATATTCATTGTCTTTAAATAGCTTAATCTCAAAGATATTGTAAAGGGAATCAATGGGGAATCAATGGAGGACACCCAATGCAATTAAAATTGCTTTGTCTACCTCCCAAAAACAAAAAACATAAAAATCAACTAAAAAAGAACAAAAAAGTGAAACCTAAACTAAAATCTTCAAGATTATAAAATAAGAAGATGATTGGCAATGAGACACCTCTCCACCAGAGACCAAATGACATAAATCTATAGTCATCATATGGCCTTCAACAATGAGAAAAACCCTTTTTATCATTAAATGTATTCCACTCACTGGTCATTGTTAAGTTATTTGTAAGAGATGAAGACAATATCAATCAGTGACTAAATGCTATTAGGAGACAAACTCTACCACATGTAACCTCTACAGGTCAAAAGTGAGCTTGACAAGAGAACCAGAAGCTCTGATGGCAATAACGGTTTATTTGCTTGGCTATTGGGTATACTTATGAAAGATGATGGAAGGATACTAAAAAGTTAAGCTTTAGTGAGACAAATGTTTTATGTCCAAAAAAATTCTAAACAACTCACCCGGTAGTGGACTCGTTGTCTGAAATACCCAGTAGTTTCTCAATTTTCTCAACTGAGCTTATG